GAGTCTCCTGCCTCAGCCCCTGGCCATTTTTTGGTTGCAGCCATCATTGTTGTTTGGCGGCCCGGGCTGGGGATTCGAACCCGCCGCCTTAGGTGTATGTGGCTGGCGCCTTAGCCGCTTGAGCCACAGGCGCCGAGCCACCATGTCTTTCTTTAAGCATACCTTTTTGTTTTTTTGAGACAGAGTCTCATTCTGTCACCTTGGGTAGAGTGCTATGGTGTCATAGATCACAGCAACCTCAAACTCATGGGCTCAAGTGATCCTCTTGCCTCAGCCTGCCACGTAGCTGGGACTATAGGCATCCACCACAACAACTGGCTATTTTTTAGAAACGGGGTCTCGTTCTCCTTGGCCTCCCAGAGTGCTAGAATTACAGACTTGAGCTACTGCACCTGGCCTATTAATCATAATTTTTAATGGGATGTTCTATTGTATATGGATATACTATAAAACATTAATCAATTCCTTGGCTGGGCACCCATTGCACAGTGGTTATGGCGCTAACCACATGCACGGAGGCTGGCAAGTTTGAACCCAGCCAGGGCCTGCTAAAACAACAACAGACAGCCTGACAACTACAACAAAAAAATAGCAGGCTATTGTGGTGGGCGCCTATAGTCCCAGCTACTTGGGAGGCGGAGGCAAGAGAATCGCTTAAGCCCAAGAGTTTTAGGTTGCTGTGAGCTGTGACACCACAGCGCTCTACTGAGGGCAATACAGTGAAACTCTGTCTCAAAAAACAAACAAAAAAATTAAATTCCCTTGTTATAGGATATTCTATATTACCCATATTTTTTAATCACATGACTATAGATGCCTTCATTTGATAAAAAGATTGCTTTTTCTAATGAAGTTTCTAAGAAGCAGGGTTTTTTAAAATTTATTCTTTAATATTTAGAAACAGGATCTCATGTAGGCTAGAATGCAAGTCATGTGACCATAACTCACTGCAGCCTTGACCTCCTGGGCTAAAGTATCCTCTTGCCCCAGCTTCCCCATTAGCTAGGATTATATCAATACATATTTTTAAAACATCTGTTACAAATATAAGGAATGAACAATCTAATCTTTTACCATAATCCATTCTTCCTCATCTTAATTTCCCAGAGTGGAGAAATGACTAGTAGATTGTTATTTAATATAACCTAATGTCATTTAATCATTTAACCTAATTCTTTATCATTTCTAGAAAATGATCTTACTTGAGGCTAATAGATATGGAAGTGGTTCAAGAGGGGAAGCCAGGTAATGGACACAGATCAGAGACCTGTGCAACTTATTTCATTTTAATGGTAGCTTTCAACACAAAATTTGCTTCCACTAATGGTAAGGAAACCAAATATGTGGATTGGCACTCTGGTGAGGATTGTAACCTGTAAAACATCAAATGACTCTCATAGTCCTTTTGACTGGGATGCAACAAATCAGATCGTCAATTAACTTTGTGTTTTTTGGTTTATATTTAGGTAAAGGAAAGAAATGAGAATAAAGACAAGCCAAAACCAGAGAATTTGTTATATATCTATGTGTGCATATAAAAAAGACTAGAAGGACATATACTAAGGTGTTAACTGCATATTTATGGTGGGATTATAATGTTAATTTTTTCTATATTTTTTGCAAGAAATATGTATTTTGTAATCATAAAACATGAAAAGAATATTTATTTAAGACAAACTTTCAGTAAATCTTTTTTTATTTGGAAGTGAGTATACTTATCCTGTACATCTTTTACAGGCTCACCTGCCATATGAAATCATGAACTTTTCCAGAAATGGTTACCTAAACATTGGAAGGTTCTTAATCATCAAACATTAATTGTATTCACTTTGCTTGCTAAGGAAAGTGGACTAATACAATTATGTGTGGAGGGCAGGGAGGGGAGAGGATGAGAGGTTGGAATGGGTAGTTAAATATCAGAATCATCTATAGAGCTTTTAAAAAACATACCTGATGCTTCTCCCTGTGTATTTTCTGTTCTGTATACTTTTGGGCAGAGTGTGGCCCTCACACATGTATTTTGAAAAAAATCTTGGATTTTTCTGATATGCCCCCCCCCCCCAGAACCACTGAACTAGTGTTATGATTAATCAAGATTTATTCACAACTAAGAGCTTTGAAGGGTCTTTTCATACACTGGTTTTTATCCCCAAGTACAGCATATCACAGATGTTGTGATGCAGCAGACCCTCTCTTGAGTATACAACATGAGAGGGTACTGCCTGTCTCTCTGATGCTATATTATTTGGTCACGATTGACCAAGTACTTTTGTCCCTATAACTCAGTAGAGTGCATACTCAGGAATGTTATTATTTCCAAGGATCTCATAAGGCTTTTTCCACCCTGCTTCCCTTTCACACGAAAGGGACTTCTGTCTGTTCTTAGAGTACCATTTGGCAAATATTAAGCAATTTTATTTATAGAACCAAGAGCTAAGGAATCTCTTGTTATCATCAGATTTATGCTAATGAAAGTTTGGCAAAAGATCAGCAAGTTCTACACATTTGACAACCATTTTTATTGGTAACCACCACATTTTCTCCTTAACGACAGAGTATCTGGTGCTTTAATTATTTTTGATCAGCAGACATTTTTCGTGCTTTATTTTTCAAATTTAACTTTTGCTCTTATTAAAATATCAAATTTAAAGTTGACAATTTTCATGGATACAGATTTCATATTTATATTTCTGAAAGCTTGCTGATATACTAAAAGTTAATCATTCTCTATGAAAATTATATTAATATAAACATATACCCAGAGATCTGGACACCACTATCAGTCTGTCCCTGTATTTTGGTTTGAGACAAACAGGATTTCCATTTAGATCCATTTTCCATAACTTGATCAACTTATTCAGTAAGTACTCCAAATCCTATAGAGAATAAAAAGCAAAGCACAATAATTTCATTATTATCAATATTTCTAGCATGTCAGTTAACTGTTTTTAAAGGTAAATACTGGTTTTCATGGAGTTCTAGTCCAAAGCCAGGTACTTAAAAGGTGCATAATAACTAAATTTTAAATAAAATGGTCATATTGATAATAGAAGGGAATGAAGATTAAGGCAAAAGTGAGGTTTTACATTGGGGGCTGCAGACATGTTATCTGTCATGTTCCCTTAAATGGTCCCAACCTGTAGCTCAGAAAACATTTTTTGCTATAGAAGATGCCCTACTCTTAATGAGGTTTAGAGAAGTTTACAGATTCAGGCAATTAAGGAGTAGTGAGTAAGCAATCCATTGACATTGCAAACTAAAAAAAAAAAAGTATATATATGTATACATATGTACTTTTATTTATTAATATGAAGGATGCTTACTGATTTTCAAAATCTATTTTAAAAACTATCAAAGGGGAAAAAAAATGACTTGCACTTTACTATGTTATACATAGGTATATCCTACTGTGTGACCCTAGGCAAGTCTACGTCTTCATTTATGAAGTGAGGTTAATCAGGATTAGTTGCCATGGCATATTAAATGCCTGGAACAGGGAGCTGGGTGCAGCAGCTCATGCGTGTAATCTCAGTTACTTGAGAGGCTGAGCTATGAGGATCCCTTGGGGTTGGGAGTTTGAAATCAGCTTAAGCAACATAGCAAGACATCTCTACAGAAACATTAAAAAATACATAGAACTGATTATTTAAACCATGAGGTCATAAGTGGTGGTGAGGGAGAAAGTAAGAAAAGAGAAATAGTGGGGCAGCAACTATGCCAACTAGTTTGGATGGAAGATGAAGGAAAATTAGTAAAGATGTCACAGAAGGATTCATCAGGAGAATTCTCAGGACAAATCTCACCTCTTCTCAGAACAAATAATAATTCAGTGACTCAGGAACTAATAATTCAGATTCTGGAGCTCCAGCGGCACAAGAATTTATGGGTGCTATTTAGATGGCAGATTCAGACGCCGTGTGGGGGGGAATGAGGGGAGTACCTAATAGAATAAACAGCTACAGAAGGATAAGAAATAAAAGAATGATAAAAATAATTAACTAAAACACTACAGCATGGATCAGATGCCTCTCATATCTGCTTCATAGGGCATTCCTTTGGGGACAATGGCTTTAACAATGTACTAGGGCTGGCCCAGAGCTCTACAGAACATTCAGTTAACTTGTTGCTAACATTACTTTGCTAGAAACTTTGTTTAGCAATGCCTCATTGGAAATCAGTTGCTTAGAAAAACTTTGGGAAAAAATTTATGTGTCATTATAAAAAGAAGTATTAAGTCATTTGTGGTAGGCTAGGCGCCTATGGCTCAAGAGGCTAAGGTGCCAGCCACATACACCTAAGGTGGCGGGTTCGAATCCCCAGCCCGGGCCCGCCAAACAACAATGATGGCTGCAACCCCCCCCTCCCAAAAAAAA